TTATATAGAGAGAGAGAAGATACACTAAAACGAAATAAATACGTTTTACTCCAGGTACCAGAGTATGTAATCTCAGGGATATACAGAAATATAAGAAATATAAGTGTAAGTATTTACATACATATATTTACATTTGGTTATTTAATTATCAAATCTTCCAAATACCATCTGTATTTAATGCTCGAGAGAGAAGATACACTAAAACGAAATAAATACGTTTTACTCCAGGTACCAGAGTATGTAATCTCAGGGATATCCAATGCTTACAGAAATATAAGTGTAAGTATTTACATACATATATTTACATTTGGTTATTTAATTATCAAATCTTCCAAATACCATCTGTAATAGATGTATTTAATGCTCAATGCTAGCATACTTCATATTTACCGCTAATAATGGAACAAGTAATCGCATCTCATTCTCATAAAAAAGCTATAGAAAAAAAGCCAAAAAATTAGAAACCATGCTGATGATTTTGAAAAAATAATTTATTTTATTTTTAAAAATCTTTTCAACAAAATTTGTACAATTTTCAAAAGAAAAAATCATGGCAATATTAATTTACTCTTGGATAGAGTAAAATTGTCAAAGTAACATAAAGTCGACTTGCTTTCTTATATAGAAATCTTCAATTTTTATTGCATATTCTTATGGATAACGTTTCCAAGATGTTTCCAAATTTTTTTTTATTACTGGTCTTATTTTGATCCAGATATTTTATAGTTTTAGAGTAAGTTAAAGTTCCGTTAACAATAAAATGTGTTGCTTTATTAAATGGGTCACATTGCCTTTTATCAATCACCTATCTTTTATTTCGTTTCTTTTTAATCAGACATAAACCTCAGATTTTAAGATACTTTTGTTATTTTAAAAACACAATTTTTTTTATAACAACTTCTTGCAGTTGATTTTATTCTAAAAATGTCTGATTATCCAACAACAGAATTTATTAATATGATTATTGAGTATAATCGGACCAATGAAAATGCTTGAGAACCTGCTTGTGAATATGTAATCTGTTGGAGAAATAATAAATTAAAATAGTGATGACTCTGGTCATTTGAATAAAGCGCGAAATGCATAAAGCCGATGTCGCCACTGCGTATCATTAAGTTTCCGCAGCGTCATCGTTTTCCGGTACTCCGGTGAGCGCGTGCTTTCGCTGTGCGCAGATCGCCATTAACGGTGTTCCGTATCACTTCGTCTTTTGTAAGAGTTAAGCAATATACAGTTTTTGGAGAAGCTACAGTGTTCTTATATTTAAAATATAACCAGTCCCAACAGGTTATGGGCCCAGGGTGCTTATAAGATCGAGACATTCACAAATTCGAACATCTTCTGTGAAGACTGGGAAAGCGCGGAAAGTTCGCAAAAGTTCTTCGAGGTTGGCCGTGCCACGTGTGTAATAGAGCAAGTGCCTCAAGATGGACAGCGAATTGATCAAGATCAATAAACTAAAATCCGCGGAAGATTGGACAACATGGAAATTCCAAATTAAAGTGATGATGATTGCCAACGATGATTGCTTCGGAGTGGCAAATGGAATAGTGACGAAACTTGAACTGCCGAATCAGAATGCTAACGCTGAGATCAGGGCAACGTACCAGAAAGATCTGAAACAATGGCTAAAGCTCGATGGGATAACTCAAAAATTGATTGTGCTACATACATCGGAACAATCGCTGCTACATATAATAAACTGTGAAAGTACGTACCAGATGCGATTTACGAAAGTAAAACCGAAACAAGTATACATTTATTAAAACAAAAATGGTTTTCTCTAACAAAAGAAGCAACCGACGACATGGCAGCGCACATTGCAAAAATAAGAGACGTGAGTCATAAATTGTCCTTGCTAGGAAGGCCTATCTCAGAAAAAATGGTAATAACAAAAATATTGATGACCTTGCCCACTAGTCTAAATTACTTCTCTGCAGGGCTGTGTTCCGATTCTTCACCCGATGGGTAATAGTCGGGTGAGCGGGTGATGGGCGGAGTTTAACGAAAAGTGTCTGAGAGGATAATGGAATCAGAACGCACTCCGTAGGAATCTGAAGTCTCCAAACGGTGTTGACATCTTGGTAATGCGTGATCGCCCTATCTAGTTAGAAATTAATCAATGGTTGAGTTATCAAAGGAAAGCGGGCAAAGAAAGAAAATTATTGTGCGTTGTAACTATAAACGTTTTCACACTATCACTATTCGACTTCGCAGTTTTACTAACAATCAAAGCGTCAATATTAGTATTAACAACGTATAAATTTCTTCTTTTTTTTTTCTTTTGGCATAAGCCTGTAAATCTCTGTAAATACCTGTAAAAACCTGTTGCCCAAATGCAGTTTATAGCTTTATAGTTTTTGATGTAATAATATATATTGGCCGTGTTCCGATATTTGCTGCCAGTACTGAAAATCTATAGTGTATGTCATATACACTATAGATTTTCAATATTGGCAGTAAATATCGGAACACGGCTATTATTACATCATGGTTTATAGCATACATAAAGCCGGTATTAGACATGAGATTATACACAATTTTCAATGCATCTGATGTCCGATTCTGACTTACAATATTACTAGATTTTTCAATATTGCCCGCACTTATTGCCACCCATCTTCACTCACAAACCATCCGGCTCACGGAGCCGGGTGGTTTTTACGCTCTCCCGGGTGAATAGAGTGACAATTTGAACGTCTCACTTGAGAGTCCGGCGAGAGCACTTGGGAGGAATCTGAACGCTCTCTGGGTGTCTGGGTGCACCCGGGTGGGGAATCGGAACACAGCCCAGCATGGGAATCCATTTCGCTGGCAGATTGTACTGTCGATAACTTAGTAACCAGACTGATAATGGAAAAAACACGGTTATCGGCAAGGAAGAGCAAACCAGGCGGCACTCTAGCCGCAAAGGGAAACACGCGAGCCGCTAATCTTGAATCGGTAAGAAAGCATGCCAGACATAAAAATGTGAAACCAGGTGCATGCTACAAATGTGGAAAATTCGGACACTTTTAAAAGGATTGCCGCAGCAAAATAAAAGGAAATAAAAGTGAAAAGGAGCAGCAGCGATCGACCAAAGAAAAACAGGAAGCGCTATACAGTGAGTCAGTCTTTTTTTCTTCAGGAGAACTCGACATTGACGTGAGGTATCTTGATTCTGGTGCCAGTAGTCACATGACCGGACGGCACGACTTGTTTGAAGATTTTAAAGCTTTTCAAGAACCTACTTCCATAAAATTAGGAAATGGAGTAGAAATAGCAGCTCATGGGAAAGGACATATCAGTGTCTCAGTGTGTACTGGTTCCAAATGGGAAGAAAAGTATTTAGAGGATGTAATATATGTCCCGAAGTTGGCATATAATCTATTCTCCATGGGCTCGACACTCGATAAGCAAATCAAATTTGAATCGAATGAGAAGGAATGCCGGTTCGTCAAAGGAGACAGAACAGTCGCGCTGGGGGAGAGAAAAGAAAGACTGTATGCGATGAAAATGAAGGTAATAAAGCCGGAGAATGCGCTTAATGCGAAAATCAAAGAAGATAAGCCGAAGAATACAACTGCTGTTATGGCATGAAAGATTGCCACATCAAAATTTCAAGCAAATAAGGAAAATATTGAACAAAGCTGGCATTGCGATAAATGAAGATGATCCATTCTGCAAGGCGTGTGCAAAAAGTAAAGCATGCAGAAAAGTTTTCCCAAAAAGCGAAACAAAAACAAAAGAAATGGCTGAATTGATACATGCAGATTTGTGCGGCTCAATGGAGACCAGTTCACTAGGCGGAGCAAAATACTTCCAACTCTTCAAGAATGACTACTCGGAATACAGGAAAGTGTACTTCCTAAAGACGAAAGAAGAAAAAGTTGACCACTTTAAAAACTTCATCAAGAGAATTTAAATGGAAACCGGAAAGAAGATCAACATGCTGCGAACAGACAATGGTTCGGAATTTGTCAATAATAAAATGAAGAAAATCATGATCGACGAAGGCATAGAGCACCAAACAACTGTGCCTTATACGCCTGAGCAGAACGGCAAGGCAGAAAGAGAAAATAGAACCATAACAAAAGCAGCTCGTACAACGTTACTCACAAGAGAAGATAGGCAACCCGGAAAACCAGAAAATTCTAAAACTTTGTGTGCAAGTAGAGTAGTTCATCCGTAATCCAAAACAATTTTTTGTTCGTGCAAAATTAAGGTTTAAGGGGGTGAAATCACCCCTTGAAAAAAATGTAGATCTTTCTTTTTTACGAAATAACTGTCGAACGGTTAGAGATATTGAAAAAAAGTTTAAACAAAAGTTGCGTCTTTTTTTATGTCTACAAAATAATAATAATAATAATAATAATAATAAAAATTTTTCGGCACTTATCTATATGCAGCTTTGTAGACATAAAAAAAAGATGTAACTTTTGTTTAAATTTTTTTTCGATATCTCTCACCATTCGGTAGTTATTTCGCAAAAAAAAAAGGTCTACATTTTTTTTAAGGGGTAATTTCACTCCCTCAAACCTTAATTTTGCACGAACAAAAAATAGTTTTGTGTTACTCTACTTACACACAAAGTTTCAGAATTTTCTGAATTTCCGAGTTGCCTACCTTCCCTTGTCAGCAGAAACCTTCCAAAAACCATGTGGGCTGAGGGAGTGAATACTGCTGTACATATATTAAATGGAACCTGAAAAAATGGCAGTGAAGGCCATTCACTATACGAAATCTGGTTCAGAAAAAATGTGAAAATAAACTATTTGAAAGTTTTTGACACAAAATGTCATGTGCACATATCGAAGCAGAATAGACGGAAATGGGATACAAAATCCAAGGAAGGTGTCCTAGTCGGTTACGATGGTTGCACAAAGGGATATAGAATCTGGTTCCCTGAGACGAGGAAGGTAGTAAACACACAGAGATGTTATCTTCGAAGCAGAGCAGCCAACACAAGATACAGGAACGGATGAAGAAAAAAATGAAGTACGAGCAGACATCATAGGATGCATGCAACGAAGAGGATGAGGAAAAAGAAAAGCTGGAGGAAAGGCCCGCACCACCGGAAGGATCAGAGCATGAAGAAGAAGATGATGATGATGACATTTTTCAAGACACCGAGCAACAGCAAGTGACAATGAGCGATGAAGATAAACACTTTCAAGAAAAATATACGTTACGCAATAGGCGAACAATCAACCCTCCCCAACGTTACGGAAATTACTAAAAACATAATTCGCTTGTTGCAGCCGAAAAAGAAGAAGCTGTAAATTATGAGGAAATGATAA